AGTCTTTTATAGTATTTCTCTATTATCTTAGAAAACAGCCTCAAAATTCATTTTTCTTTTTCTTTCTTTCTTTTTTTGACATGGTCTCACTATGTAGTTGAGACTGACCTGGAACTTACTACATAGACCAGGCTGGTCTCGAACTCACAGTGATCTTCCTTCCTCAGCTTCCCAAGTGCTGGGATTACAGGTGTGCGCCACCATGCCCAGCTCCCATTTTTCTTGTAGAGTGTAGTAACAAAGGGGCAAGATTCAACTTGACGAACAGAGTAGAGACCCTGTGTCATATTTCATGGTACAATAAAGTCTTGGTTTGTCTTGGGTCATACCAAAGAAGGGCCAGAATCTGTTGCATTCTAAGAGATCCATACATAGCACATCCAGCTGGAGACAGAGTTGTACGGGAACTGGGAGAGAGAGCTGACAGAAGTCTAACCTACCTGGCCCAATGAATCAGTTAAAGTATTAAAAAGAGTGGGTAGTTTGGTTATCCGCTATAGTGGTCTACCCCCATGCTCATACCCTGGACGTGAAGGGTGATTGTAAGCTTGGAATTTGAAATCAGGACAATTTGATCACTAATTATCTTTAAGACATAAGCAGTTTGCATAACATTTTAAAGTCTCAGTCTCTGCATCTGTAAGATGGAAATGATAATGCCTTCACCATCAAGTTGTTTCTTTTATAAAAATGTTAGGGCACCACAAAACTATAAATCGGGCAGAAGAAGGAGAGTCAGTAAAAGAGACTGGAAAACAAGTGTTTTTTGTTTGTTTGTGTAGAGATGGGGACTCAATATGTTTCCTAGGCTGGCCTCAAACTCTTGGGCTCAAATGATCCTGCTGCTTCACTCTCTCTGGTAGCTGGGACTATAGGTTCCCAGCCAACAAATGCTTTAACACAAGAGTAGAAAAGAACACATTATGAGGAGATTGTGGTCCTTCTTGTCAAAGTATGCCTAGAGTTCAGCCCACGTGGCAGAGAAATCACAATTGGATTTTGGTGAGATGGAGAGACCTCAACAAGGACAGTTTTGCTCAAATGGAAAGAAAGATGTCAGATGAACGGGTGTTGAGAGAGTGAGATGGAGAAGTGGAGACAGCCAGTACAACACTCATGAGAAGCTTGGGTAATGGGAAGTTGAAAAAGGAAGCATTTATTGGGAAGCTTTTATACTGGGCATCTCAGCACCTAAGGAGAATTAAATGATCTAGAGGGTAAAGGGAATGATTTCCAGAGACTGGCTTATGAAATAATTATAAAGATGGGAGAAAATGGGATCCATAGCTCATGGTAGAGGTCACACACATGTATGTTTCACACATAGCAATAGTTATGAAGCAGAGTGTTTTGGGGTTTTAACATAGGTGTGTTGATAGACGCGGTAGTGAAAAGCTGTAGAAGTTCTTGTCCCATTATTTTTACTAGGAGAAAATATTATCAGCTGAGGAACAGATAAGACTGGGGAGCAGTAAATTAGGATGTTAGATATATATGTGCACCCATGTTCATAGCAGCACATTTGTAATAGCTAAAACTTGGAAACATCCCAGTTGCCCATCAACTGGAGACTGGATAAAGAAAATATTAAAAAAATAAATAAAATGGTGTACTACTCAGCCATAAAGAATGAGAACTTGGAGAGATTTATAGGTAAATGAATGCACATTGAGGTGATACCTTAATGAAGTAAATAGGAAACACATGTGTTTCTCTGGTGTGAGAAACTGAGAATGTAAATAAGAATCAAAAGGTATAACAGATAATGTGAAATAGGAAGAAAAGGTACAAAGGGGAAGGGGAAGTGGGAGGGATAGGGAAAAGGAAAGAAGGGAATGGAGTTAACAGAAAGTAAAAAACTGGAAACAAAGACTTTGTAAATAGGGAGGGGTGAAGGAGTTGAAGGGAGGGCAGGGGAATGGGGAAAAATAAGAACCAAGATGTATTAGTAAAGGCACAAATCTCCAATAATGGATGTCATCATACTGTACATCTAAAATGTACCAATAAAATTAATTAAAAAAGTAAATGGTTGGACAGACAGTGTGTACTCCTTTTTGCCCTTCCCCATTCCGTGATGTGAGGACTCAGGATTAATAACAAGGCCCTATCTTGGGAGCAGAGAGCAACCCTCATCAGGCAGCTGAACCTACCAGTACCTCGATGTAGGACTTCTCAGCCTGTTAAACCATGAGAAATCAGTCTTTGTCTTTATAAATTACCCAGGCTCAGATATTTTTTTCTAGCAGCACAAAAGACTAACAGTATGGAATCAAAACAAGAAAAGGGGGGGAATTAAGGACAGAGGAATGAATAATATGAAAGATGGCTGAAACAGTGGGTAGGAAGACTTGATGATGTTGCAGAATTTCTGAGTTGGAGAAGGGGGCGAGGGAACTTGATGGACAAGTAGTGGTTAGAGGGTGGGTTGCTTGGAGTGAGGATTTCAAAGGCAGTATAGTTTGAGTCTTGACCTAATGATTAGGTCAAGAGGGCAGTCCTGAAGTCCAAGGGTTGAGATTAGGTGGGAGAAAGATTATTAGAGGAGAGAGAGTCAGGGAACCAGGTGGCCCAAAGTTCAGATAGTCATCCATCATCATGACATCAATGGTAAAGTCACCTAGTACAGTGACAAGAATAGGGGTAGAAAGGGAGAAAGTGATCTAGGTGATAAATGTGCAATTCTGTATTAGTTAAGGCTGCCATAACAACACAGACTAGGTGGCTTAAACAACAGAAAATTAGTCCGGCTTGGTTACACACATCTATCATGTCAGCACTGTGAGAGGCTGAGGCAGGAGGTTCACAACTTTGAGCCCAACCTAGGCAACTTTGTGACAGTGAGACCTGTCTCAAAATAAATATAAAAGAAGAGCCTGGGGATGTAGCTCTGTGTGAAGGCTCTGGGTTAAAACTCCAGTAACACACACACACACACACACACACACACACTCTCACATACATACACACACACACACACAATACATATGAG